CCTGAATTCATGTAGATATGTCTAAATATATCTTTCAACTTTAATTATGCCTATTTTTAATTTTTTGGTCATGAAAATCAAGAAATCCAACCTAACATTGAAAGTATACTGATTAATTGCTACAAAATCAGGCATTATCATGTATAAGAAACAAAATTCCTCAGAATGATTAAAAGCTTTTTAGTTAATGCTACCTTGATGCAAATAGTTAGGTGAAATGATATTCTTGACTTTCTCAAAAGTCTTATAGGAAACAATTTGTGGAAGAAGTATAGAAAAAGAATCCTTCAACTCTTTGCATCACCAAAAAAACTGCAACTCATACACAAGGGACATGGTTAAGTTGCTACTTTAGTTAATGTCATTAAAAACAAAATAAAAATTTGTTACTTTCCTTCACTGGTAATTCAAAACAAGCATATCCTAATGATTCACCATTATTACTCATGAGTAATCATTCACCGATACATTTTCAAATTACATTCATCCAAAAATTTTATTTGCCATAGTAGTCTCTATTCCATATTTGGACGTTTAATTTCTAGAATTGTTGTAGACTAAATGTTTACAAACATATACTTGTGTTGTGTCAAGTTGTCAACTACTACTTTAGATATTGGGGAACAGTCAAGTCTAATAATATCAACAACCCAAAATCTCTAGGTAATTTTATTTATAAACATAGTAATAATATTAAATCAGCTAAACAATCTCCACACACAGCACAGCTTCCCGAAATCATATCACCTGGGAACTACTACTCGGTACCGACTCAGAAGACTGAGTCAGGACCCCCCCCCAAAAAATATACTTAGGTAATTTTATTTTTATTTTGAAAAATGAAGAAGAGGCGTACACGTGTGGGAGGTGAGGGACCCAAAAAAAACATATACTTAGGTAATTAAATTTGCGAGTAAACTCATAAGAATTCCCAAAAGTTATGAAGATTTTTATAAGTAAATTATCATAAGTTTAGATTTGTCTCCAAAAGATTATTTTTAGGGACCAAATCTAACTAGTCCCTAAATATTTCTTGTAGTAGGCAATTTACTGTCATTAGTTGGGTAGTAGGCAATTTACTGTCATTAAGATCTCAAGAGTTTGATAATATACACACACAAGTTCAATCCATCGACGAAGAAGAGGATGATTTAATGAGAGAAAACAGAGATAAACCCAATCTGACAACATATGGAGAGTTTGATACATAAGGCCAACTGAGAGACGATTCATTCATCATTCTTATTCTTAGTGAGAGAAAACAGAGAAGAAGGCCGTATATATATATATATATATATTTACACACACACACAAGTTCAATCCATGTAATAATCAGAAATTGGAAATCAAAAAAAGAAAAATGATAGTGTAACACCTGAAAACTCACTGAAACAACAAATTAACAGCATACGAAATACAGTATTGATCGAACTATGCGAGAAAACAATTCTTCATCTCCAACACGCATTAGATTGGATATACAATACATATATACACACACAAGTTCAATCTATGTAAAGAATTCTTCAATTCCAACACGCATTAAGATATATACATATATACACACACAAAAAGTTCAATCTATGAAATAATAAGAAATTGAAAGTTCGAATTGGAGCTCTTACAGGTCGATTACGGAGATCGATTAGAGAGAGAGAGAAGCGCCAACATTTGAAGAAGATTGAGCTCCCAATCTGCCTTGGAGCTCCCAACTTTAGGGCTGAAGATTGAGCAAACCGTTGAAGTGAGAATGAGCAAGTTAGGGCCCAACTCTTTAATTGTTAAAATAATAAAAATATTTGGTCTCAAAATATTTTTAATGGATAATGACGAAAATATCTGGTCCTAAAGATAATAATATATTAGCAACCAAATTTATTAGTTTTAAAAAATTATGTAAATATTAGGTGAGAATATTAAGACTAGATTTGGCAAGTCCTAAAAAATTTAAAAAGTTAAAAAGTTATACAAAAAGAAAAAGGTCATACACTTTTTGGGCAAAAAAAAAATTACATATGTAAAGCCACAAAGTTTGATGGTAATATTAGGCCCTTGGGGGCCCACTAAGGATTCCGTTTTGATAATCTGAACCGTGCAATATGTAGAACTCGTCGAGACTACATGCCTGTAAAAAATTACGTTAATCGAATATCGTTAACGATATGATCAAATTAGTTTTGTATAAACAAAACGGATGGTGTGATAGTTAACTGTTGAAAAAAAAAACTAATCCGGTCATATAGCTATCGATATCCGATCAACGTGATTTTTTACAGGAATATAATACTCGACGAGTTGTACATATTGAACGGTTCAGATTATTAAAATAGGACCTGTGGTGGCCCCCATGGACCGACCATTATTGTCCAAACGCTTTGCCCCGAAGGAGGTAATAATTTACTGTGTAAGACACATTGCCCCAGCAAGGCAGCCACACTACCTACTCAACTTTCTTCCCCTATATATTTTATTTATACAATTTTTTATTACATATTTTTTTCGTAAAAAGACAAAAAATTAACTCAAATATCCATATTTTTTTTCTTAACTTTTTAATATAAAAAGATAAAAAATATACTTAATATAGAATACGCCAAATAACCCCTAAAAAACATGGTGAAAATATATTTTTGTAAACACGCCTTTAACTTAATTTGAAAAATTTTGCGAATGTAGGGCATAGTTTGGAAAATACTATGGGGCGTTCATTTTGGGAAAAGCCTCGATAGCCTCATGTCACGTGCCGCAGAAAAAACCGATGTTGCTACTCTTCTCACAAACCACAAATCTCTCTCTCTCTCTCTCTCTGTACCTTTCACCCTTCGCTTGAGCTTTAACAATGGCGGAACACGACCCCATCACTCCTCCATTACCCAAACACCGCCTCTCTCATCTCTCCGACGAGCCTCAACTTATTATACCCGTGGACGACGATTGGGATTCCGAAGAACCCGCAAATCGAATTCACAACTACGAAACCGATCCAATTAACAATACCCATTCAGCGATTGAGAACCCATTTGAGTTTCTCGGTGCCGGACCTCTCTCCGTGCCTTCCTCGACCACTATCGATCCCTTTCGCAACCACACGCCGCAAATTGAAGGGGTTTATGAGTGGTTGAAGATCCTGATTTGTGTGCCTATTGCGATTGTTCGGCTCGTGTTGTTTGGTTTGTCTTTGTTGATTGGGTATGTGGCTACAAAGTTTGCTCTCCATGGTTGGAAGGATAAGCAGAACCCAATGCCCAAATGGAGGTGTAGAGCAATGTGGGTTACTCGAATTTGTGCTCGGTGTGTCCTCTTTTCTTTTGGGTAAGTCAATTGTGTTGATAATTTAGTTTCTTTTTAAGTGTGTGGATACATATTTATGATTTCATATGAAAGCATTTATCTTGCAATTAGATTGTGAACATTTTTAACTTATTTATTCACATATGATATTAGGAGCCAATGAATTATAATCATAATAATGAAGATTTATAAATTACATAATCAATAGAAAGAAATTCGTAAAGTGCGAGAAAAGGGCAGAGTGAGGAATCTTCCATCAAGGGCCAGAAGAAAGGCATTGGCGAATTTCGCACATGCGAATGGTGGGTGGGGTCATGTGTAAAAGGATTAAATAATTATTAAATATAAATCAATAAATTAAAAATTATAGAAGCCTAGTCTAAATTTATATATGCTATCCACTTTTTGTAAGCATATGGTCTTGTTTAGTGGAATTTATTTGGGTTGATAATTGAGTTTCTTAAGTTTGTTGATACATATTTATGATTTTATATGAATGCATTTATCTTGCAATTAAACATGAACATTTATTTATTCATATGTGATGTTGTGGACTAATGAACTATAATCATAATAATAAAGATCAAATATATCATATAATTAATACAAGGAAACTCCTAGAGTGGGAGAGATGGGCAGAGCAAGGAATCTTTAATCAGGGGCCGGAAGAAAGGCATGAGCAAATTTTGCACAAGCGAATGGTGGGTTGGGTTGAGTGTAAAAGGATTAGATAATTATTAAAATAAAAATCAATATAAGACAATGGCTAATAAAAAATTATAGAAGCCTAGTCTGAATTTACAGATGCTATCCACTTTTTATAAGCATATGGTCTTGTTTGGTAAAATTTATTTGGACTTTATATATATATATTGTATTGAGAATATGTTTTTTAACTTCTATTGTTGCTATTTTTTTCGTTTTAATAATAATTATCTATACTATTATATTAAGGGAAGGCTGGACTTGGTGTCCAAGCCTTTGCTTGCTTTTTCTTATGCCACGTGTCTCTCATTTTTTATGTCATGTGTCCCTCATTTTTTTAGTTGAAAAAAAAAAAAATTAGACAAATGAGAGGAGTGGGACTTGGACCTTAGTCCCTGAGTCTATTGAAGAAGGTTCTTACCACTTGAGTGGCACATAATATATGGTAAAACAAGAAAATAGAATTTCCTGAAAAGTGAATTATGGAAATCAAAACCAAGTAGAGTGAATGTTATCCTTTGTGGGTACTTGTATCAAGCTCAATACGTGGCAAGCCCTACAGGTGCCACATCACCAAAACCCCACCCACGTGGCAGACCAGTAAGGCACCACGATCGGCATGTCGTATGTTTGATACATGGCGAGCCCTACGGGCGCCATGTGCCAAGGCAGCCAAGACTATAGCCAAGACTATATGCTTAGCCTAAGCGGGAGTATACATATAAGTCCAAATATATCTAGATATGAAGAGCCCTGCAATAGGCAGCACCATGGCCCCGCGGGGCCCATGGTCCTTCATACCTCGCTCCAAGGCTAAACAACAATACAATCAGCCCCCGGCTCACTTGGACTTGGATTGATAAATAATGGCTCTCTTAAACATTGAGATAAGCCTGCGGCCCATTCTCCTACTTGGTCGCTTGGAAGCGAGCCCTTGGCTCTCTTAAACACTAAGGTGGGCCCTGGCCCATTTATCTACTTGGATGCCTGGGTTGGGAGCAGGACCCAGGCACTACTGCTCGGGATCATCAGAGGATACTGGACTGGCGGTTGAGATCATGGGATCGTCGAGATGGTTGTCTTCTTGCTAAGACAACTCTATCTTGACCAGGCTTGGAGAAGAGGCAACAATGACCTTACATTCATGTCATCCGATGCATATACGAAACGTTACTTTCTGCCTGCCATGAAACGTTGCTCTCCGCCTGTCGACATGCCACAGACGGCAGAAGGGCTTATATCACTTCTGGCAGAGTTGAGGAGAACGAGCCACCTGTCCAACAGTTTGCTTGGGCTCCAATCATTTCTTATGTCATGTGTCCCTCATTTTTCTATTTGAAAAAAATAAAAATAAAAAAATAGACAAATGGGAGGAGTGGGACTTGGACCTTAGACCTTGAGTGTATTGAAGAAGACTCTGACCACTTGAGTAGCACACAATATATGGTAAAATAAGAAAGTAGAATTTTCTGAAAAGTGAATTATGGAAATCAAAACCAAGTAGAGTGAATGTTATCCTTCAAGCAAATTACTTTTTCGAATAATACCTTAAAACATAATCTTCTAGTACATACCACCACCATCACCATTTCTTAGTACACGCTATTGGCCACCACCATTAACTACCACAACCGCCGCGACCTCCTCCATTCTTCGCCACTTCTCTCAAATTTTGTCACCTCCTCCTACCTAGCCTTGTTGCACCCCTCTACCGCTACCCATTTTCTCACTGCTTCCACCTTCGACTACACAATTCTAGTCCAATTCGTTTCCTTTCTCATCGCCTTCCTTTGCTTCTCCTTCTCATTTTGCTCTTTTGTTGCACTCCTTTTCCAGTCTTCTTGGATTTTAAGGTGTGGCGAAATTAGACAATAAAACTGAGAAGGAAGTGGTGATGAAAGAAGAAAAAGGCCAAGTGACACGAGGAAAGGAATTAAATTAAAATTTTAAAATTAAAAAAAAAACAAAAGTATTTTAATATTATTTAAATATATAATATAAATTGAGTAATTAACATGTAGTTAGAGAATATGCTAAAAGCTCCCAAACATAAATGTAACTAATTTAAAGGTGATGGTTTGACACCGATGTGGGACTCCCACCCATTAATGCTGCGGATAGCCTCATACCACATGCCGCTATTGGCTTTTTTGGGCTTTCGAAGGTTAATAATGTAATTTTTAGTGTGCCAGTAAGGATCAATAAGTCCTTACAGAAATTTTAATTGCCAACCAATTATTAGGCGATTGTGTTGAAATTTTTGCAACCTCAATGAAGAGGACTTTTACTGGTGGCTTTGCTTAAGAGACGGTTTTAAAGATATGGAAAATAACAATAGATAAAAACAATTTTATGAATTGAATTTCATTAAATAATAAGTACTTACAATGACCCAACCTTGAAGAGGTTCACAGCAACAAATTACTTGAAACTACTCTTAAGAATTGAAGTGGAGTATAGGAATTGAAGAACTGGGAATGTAAAAACTGGAAAAAAAAAAAAGAAGAAGAAGTAAATAACTGGTTTCTGGATCTGAGTTTGGGTCCTTCTTTGTTGGCTTTCTCTTCTATTTATACTCTCTAATGGTAACCGTCGAAGTAGGCTTCTAACTGTCGAAATGCCCTATCACAATCTCCGGTCATGGCCTCGCACAATTAGCTTCCACTACGCTATTCTTGCAGTTAGGCTTCCCTCCTGAATTTGAATTTGAATTGTGAATAACCATTGGGCCATGTCATTTTGCGCCTTCTCCCTGCTCTAATGCTGTGCAGATCCATTATTACCAATATGAACTGCCACGTGTCCGTCATTGATTGGAGACTTACATTAACTCCTCAAATTACCCTTTACGAGCCATGTGCGATTGGCCTATACAAAATATATAGTCAACATTACCCTCCGCACTAATATACCCAATACTTGGTGATATTAGTAAATCAGTGTACTTTGCCCACGTCCTAGGACGTGCATGGACTTTGTTTATTTTGGAAGTGTAACCGTTTTCCAAGCAATGAAGCACTGAACTTCATTAAATTCTTCCTTGCGCTTTAAACCTCCATTATCTGCATAAACCAATGGACTGATACCTCTCTTGATGGCTAACCAACCCACTTCTTTCATTGATCAAGCATATGAAGAGTATTTGGACGATGATGATCAATCTCGAAAGAACCTTCATGCATTTATTGACCATATTTATCCGCCTCCATTTATACAAGTTATGGAAACTTTTGCACAATACGAGCCTCTGGACCAAGTACTTGCACAAATGGATCTAGGAAGCTCTTCATATGCTTAAAAACTCGGTGCATGGGATAAAGCTGCTTCCTCTTCTTCTAGAAACACTAGCTAGGGTACTTGGCCCTCACCCACTCAACCTCAAACAAGGGAGCAAATCCACCATCGATTTCCTGAATTTGATGACCCCACTGCAATCCATCCCTCTATGCGCAGCTTTGTAGTCTATCCATACGTTCCCTTCGACCGTTTTCGTAGCCTCGAAGACAACTTGCTTTCGGCATGGCACACTTCTACCTTGCCGACCAGAATAGTGCGAAAGACCCCGCAACCCATTGAAGCTTTGGGAATCAGCCCCTCACTCGTAGCCAAGAAAGCAAAACTTTACTCCTCTGACTGGCTAGAATATGTGAACGAGCCCCAGTTTCCACCTTCATTTGGAGGGAACCCAACTGCTCCTTTCCTACCTCCCAACCCTAATTGGATTGAGGAATTAAAACTCCCCCTCTTCGAAAGCCAACATTTTGCTCCCAACCAGGCTCCAGTTCCTCAAACTGCTTATCAGCAGTATAGAGCCCAGACTCTGCTTGTTGCTTTCTCTCACTTATCCTTCGAGGTCCTTCGAGATGACAAGATATATTACAAATCATATATATATGTTGGTTATTTTGGTATTAAATACTATTAGAAGTTGTATTATGTCATTTTCACTAAAAAGATGGAATAAATGAGTCGAAAATATGTCGAACACAATAATTTCAAAAATTGCATGAATTGTAAAAACTGAATCGAATCGTGAATCGATTGTGAATCGTGCGATTCATTAGAGATTCACTTCTGAAATAGATTCACTCATAGATTCGTATCGATTTTGCAAAAATTACGTATCGAATCATGAATCGAATTGCGAATCGTAAGATTCTGATAACAGAGATTATATTAAGGGAAGGTTGAACTTGGTGTCTAAGCCTTTGCTTGCTTTTTCTTAAGCCACGTGTCTCTCATTTCTTATGTCATGTGTCCCTCATTTTTCTATTTGAAAAAAATAAAAATAAAAAAATAGACAAATGGGAGGAGTG